AGTTATTTCGAACGCGAGGGATACCGTGCCGCCGAATCTCCAGAAATGGCGGTTACGAACGCACAGCTGCTGGATTGCCTGTACGATTTGGCGGGCACTCCGAGGATCTCCAACACCACCCAAAGATCACATAAAGACAAGCTCGGGAAGGCGGCCCCGAAGTCGTTCAATAAGCACGCCGGGGTATTTGTAGCCGGCCATATTGGTGGATCGGCGGCGTCGGCATTGTCACAGGAGAAAGCGGCTGTGGCCATGTGCGTTTCGACCTCCAGCACGTTATCCAACATCTGCCACCCCTGGATACATCCACGCTGAGCGCTCGCCGCCCACTGGCTGACTGCAGGCTCAAGCAAGTGGTTCACGGCTGAGGCGATAATCTTGACGTCTGCGTTGCCCAAGGAGAGAGGGCGCGTGTCCTGGAGAGGCCTGGAACCAGGGAGACCCGTGGCAGAATCGAACCCCTTCGCTAGAAGTGCCAACCACGAATGGTTAGCTTCCTCTGGGAGGGGGCGACCCGGCGAGCCAGTCGCCCACGGCATTGAGGAGAACTCGTTGGCACCACTCCGGAGCGCACCTCCACGCGCAGTAGTGAATGCCGTCTGGGCTGGGAGCAGAGTCCACCAGTCCACGACGGAGCACGCGCGAAAACTATGAAACAAAACTGACGTCCCACTGGATGGTCGGGAAGGCGACGGCGCTTTCTTCGAGGAACCCGCGGGCGGCGATCTCATCGACAGGCCGCGCGGTAAACGCGGGAGCCCAAAGACTCGATACAGCTGCACGCGCGCGGGCGGCGTCCGCGATAGGGCGGCCGTCAGAATCAAGAAGGCCCTGCAAGCCAGTTCGGCACCGTCTCGGGGAGAATTGCGCGACCCACGAGAGTATGCCTGCACGCTTCCGGCTCTTGTGGTAGTCAGGCAGAACACTGCACTCTTCTAGCTCGCGCAGTCGGTCCTCGGCGGTCTTCTGGCTGAAGCTCCGGACGAGAACCTCGACGCTGGTGAACTTTTCGGGGGTCCAATCCTGCGGGCAACAGCTGCCCAGGATGTCCTGAACCTCAGAACAGACAGAAGCAGCAATCAGCGCCTGCTTGACGCTGCCGCTGTGGGCGGCCCGTAAGAATTTCAGGCACCACCATAGTTTCTCTTCCGATGCGTGGGCGCCATGATGCTGGACGCGTCGCTGAATCTCCTGGGCTGCCCTATGGAAGAGTTCCTTAAAATGCACTTCGGCACTCCAGGATGATCCAATCAGCGGGGGCCTCAAATCCTCAAGCACCGCCTCCCAGACAGATGCCGAAGAACCCACTTCGGAATCGTAGGGGCACGAGCACACGAGACATTCGACCTCCAGCTGAAGAAGACAGGCGCGCGGTCGCTGAGATCGAAATTGGGGAGTGCAGCAAACCCTGGCGAAGCTACTCTAACCTCCAGGCCGCTCAATAAAGAGCTTGGTAACGAGGTGAAGATGCGGTCGATAGGGCAGAATTGGAGATGCCCGGCGGAGTCGGTGCCTTTCCTGGCGAAGTCGGGTTGCTCCAGCTCGGCGAGGTCCTCAATGCAGGCGTGGCCGTCGAAGGCATGCCGGGAGGGAGCGCCGGTGAAGCGACCCAGGGTGGCGTCGAAACGGTCGGTCTTGGAAGCGATCGAGTTGAAATCCCCTAAGAGGACAAGCGTGGCTCCAGAGCTAGAGGACATGACCCTAGAGAGACTCTCGAGCACCCTCGGCACGTCGCCCTCGACACGTACGCAACAGATGACCAAATTGCCCTGCGGCCCAAGAAGTGTGAATGTACAGAGACGCCCCGAAATAATGCTAGAGAAGTCGATGGACGCAATGTTGGTGAGGAAGCTACGCTTGAGGGCGACACCTATCCCACCAGAGTTGGGGGCAGCATCGGAATCGGACCTATCGATGCGATATTCTCGGCAAAGCTTCCTCGTCAGAGTCCTGCTTCTCGATTGGGCCGAGTGCGCTTCAAGGAAGAAAATGAAGTCGTGGCGGTGGCAGAGCTCGACAGCATACTTAAATTTCCGCTTGCGGCGGGCATGGTCGACGCAGCATAATCCACGAGCGTTCCAGACGCATCCAGACAAGTTGCCCGTGTAGTACCGGGAGTAAAAGGGTGGGTGCTCCGATGGTGCTGAATCCGTCTCGCTCCTCCTGCGCGCCCGCGTTGATGAACACGTGGCCCCCGGCGCAGAACGAGGAGTAGAAGGAAGAAGATTATCAAGCAAAGCTCCCTGCTCTCTGAGCGGACGCGTTGAAGAACACGTGGCTGTCTGAGCTCGTCCCGGAGAGCATGCCTGAGGAGTCGCGTCGCTCCCTCTGCGTGCCCGCGTCGATGAACACGAGGCCCCCGGCGCAGAAGGACGCGAGGGAGAAGAGGTAGATGCGTGCACATATCCCGGTAAATTAATCGAATTCTCTGGCCATGCCAGACGATGCAAGTCGCTATACTCTTCTACATCGTCACGCCGCTGTGGACGCCATCAGCGCGAACGCCGCTGCGAGTCCACTTCGGAGGCCATCGAGGCCGCCGTCTCTGGGGAAAGGTCCACCTTGTCCAGCCCGTTGGTGTGCACGCGGGTGGAGGCGCCGTCCTCCAGAACCGCGTAGATCGTGATCAGCTGCCCCATGCCGCCGATGTCGATGAATACTTCACCCTTGCCACGACGACACCCGACTTGGCCTTGAATGCCTTTGGACGCCATGTGCTGCTCCAGCTTCTTCCACAACTGTGAGATCACCCATCCCCAGACACGCTCGTCGGGAGACCGGTCCCATTGAAGGGAAAGCGGAACAGACTCCGAGCCAAGAGTAATCCGTGGGCCAGCTCGGATGGACTCCTCGAGGACGGCCTTCGCCGCAGCGGAGTCGTTGAAGATGAGGCGAGCGTGGGTGGTGTTGCTGGCCGCGCGGATCTGGGCGAGTGGAGTGTTGGGGGAGAGCGACTGGAAGACCGTCTCCGTATGCTTGACCAGCGCCTTGGACCACATGGGGAATGGGAAACCTTTGAGCACGAGGACCTTGTTGTCGGGGTCCTCGGTGCGCGCCGCCCGGTAACCAGGACCCTCGCTGCGTGCACGCTTGGTGCCAACACCGCCGTCGTCGGCTCGGGACTCCAAGGCAGCAGTCCTTTCCGGGAGCTTCCGGATCTCGCCCATGAGCTTGTCCTGTTGTTGTTTGAGGCGAGCTTCGAAATTGGTGTTGATGAGCTGCCCCATCTCCGTGATGAGGTCTTCCTTCAGATCCTTGCGCAACTTCCCGAATTGGGTATTCAGAAGAGTCTGGATGTCGCTGAGCTGCGCCATGGATGTGCAGGGAAGTAGGTAGAAGGGAATAGATGTGAAGTCTTGGGTGTACAGAGAAATGGGAGACGTTGAGACCTTGAGGCTTGAGCCATAATATTAACTGCGGGCCCCCTATGGAGAGGGCTCCCGCCTGAGACTTCCTCGCAATTCACTCGCAGACGAGGCTCCCGCCTGAGACTTCCTCCATACTCAATCAAGCTTGAAAAAGCCAAACGTGACGACAGTTACAGGATCCCGATGGCCCGTTCGGATTCATAACATGAGCTGCGGGCCCTATCGGGAGGGGGCTCCCGCCTGAGAATTCCTCGCAATGCACTCGCAGACGCGACTCCCGCTCGAGACTTCCTCCATTCTCAAGCTCGAAGAAGCGAAAGGTGACGGCAGATACGGGATCCGGATGACCTGCTTGGATAATGAACACGAGCGGCGGGCCCCATGGGGAGGGGGCTCCCGCCGGAGACTTCCTCGCAATGTCACTCAGCGGCGAGGCTCCCGCCCAAGACTTCCTCCGACGACAGTCACGGGATCCCGATGACCCGCTCGGATTAGTTAGTAACACAAGCTTGCGGGCCCCAGAGGGAGAAGGCTCCCGCATGAGACCCCCTAGCAATTCACTGACAGACAAGGCTCCCACTCGAGACTTCCGAATAATAAAAATTATGACGACCGACGATCATGATGGGATGATGATAGCGATGATGAGTAGTGCGTGTGTGTGTGTATGTGGGTGAGTGCGCTTGTGCGGTAGCGGTGCTGATGTTGATGATGACGATGTTGGCGATAATGATCAAGACGATGGTGATAATCATGGCGTGCAAATAAGGGGATGAGTGACTGGGTGAGCGAGCGTGGATGGGGATGATGATGATGATGATGGTGGTGGTGCTGCTGCTGCTGCTGCTGATGATGATGTTGTTGTTGTTGTTGTTGTTGATGTTGATGTTGATGTTGATGTTGATGTTGATGTTGATGTTGATGTTGATGATGATGATGATGATGATGATGATGATGATGATGATGATGATGATGATGATGATGATGATGATGATGATGATGATGATGATGATGATGGTGGTAGTAGTGGTGGTGGTGTTGCTGCTGCTGCTGGTGATGATGATGCTGATGATGATGACGATGAGTGTGTGTGTGTGTGCGTGAATGCATGAGTGCGTGAGTGTGTGAGCGCGGAAGAAAAGGGGGAGGAGATGAGATCATGCGCAAGGAGTATGCAGAAGAAGCAAGGACAGCACTGCGGATGGGGAAAAGCATCGAGAAAACAAAAAAACAAAACAAACAAAAAAAAAAACGAACGAAGCACCAGACCGCATCTCTCTGCGACGTGTCTCGAGCTGGATCGATCCGTGATGGACCCAGGGCCCGAAGCAGGGCGAAAACGCCCGCTGTGCAAAAAACATGCAGCGCAAAGATCTAAGGGTCCTCCTCCTCATCCTCCTCATCCTCCTCATCATCATCATCATCATCCTCGTCCTCATCCGCCTCCTCCTCCTCCTCCTCCGCCTCCTCCTCCTCCTTGTCCTCGTCCTCGTCCTCGTCCTCGTCCTCGTCCTCCTCCTCCTCCTCCTCCTCCTCATCCTCATCCTCTTCATCCTCCTCCTCCTCCTCCTCCTCCTCCTCCTCCTCCTTGTCCTCGTCCTCGTCCTCGTCCTCCTCGTCTGGACTGGAGGCCTCCGTCGGGTTCAGGCGGCAGAGCGCCCGCATCTGCTTCACGCAGAGGTCCCGGAAGTCGTAGTCCTGCGCGCTCTGCGCGTGCCCGTAGACGTCCACCGCGACGCCGTACACCTGGGGCGCCGCCCGAGATCCCTCCTCCTGCATGAATTATCCTCCTCCTCCTCCTCCTCCTCCTCCTCCTCCTCCTCCTCCTCCTCCTGCTCCCCTTCCACTTCCCTTTCCTACTCTTCGCCCCCCCCGCGAGGGGCGGCGCCGCCCACCTGCCGCAATGCCCTGAGATCCGGGCGTTGTGATTTCCGTCGCACTATATGTTCTCCTTGGAGACGCGCGTCCGACCCAAACATACAGTATACTCATCTTGTAGTATATCGTTTCCCGAGCGGTGTGGCCAGGAAGCGCCCGCAACGACGCATATACTATAAGATTTCTCGGTGCGCGCGTCGCCCCTGGCGGGGCGACGCACACATAGTAGAAGTATGTTGGGGTGATGCCGATCTGGGGCTCCGGTCGTGATTTGTCGCAGCAGTGTTGCGATCCTTCCGCAACGCAGGTCTCGGGATAGCTCTCAGGCTCAACCCGCCGACGCCTGGGAGCCAAGATGCTAAGTGATGACCGCAGCGGTTTCCAAAAGCAAGGGGGAGAGAGGGGATGATAGGGTGGAGTTCGTCCTCTTCCTCCTCCTCCTCCTCCTCCTCCTCCTCCTCCTCCTCCTCCTCCTCCTGCTCCTGCTCCTCCTCCTCCTCCTCCTCCTCCTCCTCCTCGTCATCATCATCATCATCCTCCTCATCCTCCTCCTCCACTGCTCCACACGGAGGCGGCAAAAAGCACGCCGAGGGCCCACCACGGGCCATCACAACAGGAGTACAGAAAACCCTCTCCCAGAGCAAGAAACAACTGCATCAGCATGAACTGTCGGAGCTCCGCGCGGATTTCGACCCCGCTCACTACCGCGCTCCGCGCGCAATAGGCGGCGCAGGAGGCGCCGCCAGGGAAGCCCAACGCCGATCCAAAAAATCAGCGCGGAGCGCCAAGAAATTATGCGTATACCGTTGTCTGCTCTTCGATCCTCCCCCTCGACATCCCGCCTCCTCTGGGCCTGTTCGATCGCCCCTCCGCCCCACCTCCTCCCCACAACGGCTCATAGCTCGCCCGTGTGCGGAGAGCCACTTGCACGGGGCGGAGAGGAGGCGTGCGGCAACACACGAGAGCGGGCATCGCTCCTTCGAAGGCGCTTCGGCCACGCGTGCCCAGCCTCATTCTGGGACGAGAACGACCCAGAGATCCAAGGCTCCCAGAAACGTGGCGCGGTCCATTGTCGCCCTGCAGTAGCCCTCAACGGGCACCAGGACCGTCAAAAAACGACTCCAAGACCAAAAAACGGGCTTAGGGAGGTGGTCCAGACCTCCGGGGGTCCACGCATCGAAAAAATTGGAGCGCCAGATGTCGGTTGGCGGTGCGCACAAGGGGGTGGAGGGAGGGGGAGGGCTTCTTAGAAGCAGGGGTGCTTCTAAGAAGCCCCTCTCCCCCCTCCCCACACGCCCCCTTGTGCGTGGCCGAGTCTGCGCCCATTCTAGAAAGAGGATGCTGACGTGCGACGTTTGGCTCAAGATGCGTTCCAGGAGCTCCGGAGCATCGGGCGGCCCACGTTTCTGCACAGCCCGTGCGGAGCTTGAAAGAAAATATCGAGAAAGTCCTGAAAGCTTTGGACAGCCGTGACCAAATCATTGTCATGACCTCTTGCTCCTGTGACGCAGCCTCCTCCTCCTCCTCCTCCTCCTCCTCCTCCTCCTCCTCCTCCTCCTCTGACGCAGCCGGGTGAAAACGAGCGGGCAGGGGGCTTGCGAATCGGACCAAAGGCCCGTCCGACCGGCAAGCAGGGGCGTCGGCGTGGTCTCGCCCCCCCCCCGCCTTGGCGGCGCGCACGAAGGGGGCAGGGGGAGGGGGGAAGGCTTCTTGGAGGGAGGCTGTTTCTCGGGAGGCGCCGGCCCTGCATCTGCAGATGAGGCCCGCGCCTTCTAAGAGGCAGGGTGCTGCTAAGAAGCCTTCCCCCTCTCCCATACCCCCTCTGCGCGTGGACCACCCCCGCCCTGTGATCCTTCCCTCCGATCGCCCCCGAGCCGACCCCGGTCGCGGGTGGATCGGCTACACGCAGGAGGGGCCCACGCCAAGGGTGGCCTCTGGCACGTGGCTTCGGAGGGGGCCACGGGCAGGCTCCTCCTCCTCCTCCTCCTCCTCCTCCTCCTCCTCCTCCTCCTCCTCCTCCTCCTCCTCCTCCTCCTCCTCCTCCTCCTCCTCCTCCTCCTCCCACTCCCAGAGCATGCTCACTTCAGCACACCCCGCACACAATTCGCGGCCACAGCGGCCGCGTCGGCACGCGCCCTCCCCGCCCACCGTATGTCCATTTCGGCGCACCCCTCGCACGGTTCGCGGCCGCATAGGGAGCCGCACCGAAGGCCCCAGCGGCCGCGTCTGCATGCGCCCCCCCCCCGCCCACAGCATGCCCCCTTCGGCACACCCATCACACAGTTCGTGGCCCCATAGGGAGCTCAACCGGGAGCTCAACCGAATGCCGGCGCGCCCCTCACACGGTTCACGGCCACATAGGGAGCTCAACCGAAGGACCCAATGGCCGCGTCAGCACGCGCCCCCCCCCCGCCCATAGCATCACCATTTCGGCACACACACACACACACACACACACACCACGCGGTTCGTGACCCCATAGGGATCTCCAGCGAAGGCCCCAATGACCGCGTCCGCACGCGCTCCCCCCCGCCCACTGCATGCCTATTTCGGTACACCCCTCAAGCGGTCCGCGACCCCATAGGGAGCTCCACCATGCCCATTTCGGCAAACCCCCCACGCGATTCGCGGCCCCACAGGGAGCCGCCCCCAGGCCGCAGCGGCCGCGCCCGCATGCGCCCTCCCCGCCCACCGCATGCCCATGTCGGCACACCCCTCGCACGATTCGCGGCCCCATAGGGAGCCCAACACCAAGCCGCAGCGGCTGCGTCCGCATGCCCATGTCGGCACACCCCTCGCACGGTTCGTGGCCCCATAGGGAGCTCCACCGAAGGCCCCAATGGTCGCGTCCACATGCGCCCTCCCCGCCCACCGCAAGCCAATTTCGGCACACCCCTCACACGGCTCGTGGCCCATGGGGAGCTCCACCGAAGGACCCAGTGGCCGCGTCCACATGCGCCCCCCTGCCCACCGCGTGCCCATTTCGGCGCACCCATCACACGGTTCGTGGCCCCATGAGGAGCCCCACCGAAGGCCCCTATGGCCCCGTCAGCAACCGCCCTCCCCGCTCACCACATGCCCATTTCGGCGCACCCCTCACACGACTCGCGGCCCCACAGGGAGCTCCACCGAAGGCCCCAGTGGTCGCGTCTGCATGCGCCCCCCGCCCACCGCACAGCGCATGTCCACTGTGGCACAGCCCTAACACGTCTCGCGGCCCCATAGGGAGCCCCACCGAAGGCCCCAGTGGCCGCGTCCGCATGCGCCCCCCCCCGCCCACCGCATGCCAATTTCGGCACACCCATCACACGGTTCGCGGCCACCGAAGGCCCCAGTGGCCGCGTCCGCACGCGCCCTCCCCGCCCACCGCATGCCCATTTCGGCACGCCCCTCGCACGATTCGCGGCCCCAATAGGGATCCCCACATCAAGCCGCAGCGGCCGCGTCGGCATGCGCCCCCCCCGCCCACCGCATGCCCACGTCGGCACACCCCTCGCACGGTTCGTGGCCCCATAGGGAGCTCCACCGAAGGCCCCAGTGGCCGCGTCGGCATGCGCCGCCCCTGCCCACCGCATGCCCATTTCGGCACACGTTTCACACGGCTCGTGGCCCATGGGGAGCTCCACCGAAGGCCACATGCCCATGTCGGCACACCCCTCACACAGTTCGCGGCACCATAGGAAACTCCACCGAAGGCCCCAGCGGCCGCGTCCACACGCGCCCTCCCCGCCCACAGTATGCCCATTTCGGCACACTTTTCACACGGTTCGCAGCCCCATAGAGAGCCCCACCGAAGGCCCCAGCGGCCGCGTCCGATCGCGCCCCCCCGCCCACCGCATGCCCATTTCGGCACACTCCTCACGCGGTTCGTGGCCCCAAAGGGACCCACTGAAGGCTCCAGTTGAAGGGTTCGCATGGCACCACCGCACCCAATCCCGCACAATCCTCACACGGTTCCTGGCCCCGTGGGGAGCTCCACCGAAGACTCCAATGGGAGGGTCCGCGTGACGCCACCGCGCCCAATCCGGCACGCCCCTCACACTGTTCGTGGCCCCACAGAGAGCTCCACCGAAGGCCCCAGTGGGAGGGCTCGTATGGCACCACCGCACCTAATTCGGTACACTCCCTCACACGTCTCGCGGCCCCAGAGGATGCTCCACCAAAGGCCCCCGTGGGAGGGTTCGCATGGCACCACCGCGCCGCATTCGGCGCGCCACTCACGCGGATCGTGGCCCCATAAAGAGCTCCATCGAAAGCGGTACCCACAATGCGGTACTCGCAGCTGCATATGGCTGGGTCTTTCGTTCGGCTAACTTTTTGACGGGGACGGCGGGGGTGTCAGGATATTGCCTGCTGTGCGCAGGGCCACCATCCCTGTTCAAAAACATACACCGAATGCGCCTCGCGGCTAAATCTGGATCATGCGCGACCACCCCGCGATCAGTCAAGTAAATGGTTTTTGACCGAGACGGCGGGGGTGGTGGCGTATGACCTGCTGTGCGCAAGCCCACCAGACATCATGACGGGCATTGATTTCGACAAAGACGGTGGGGGCCCATATGTTTCCCGATGTGTGCTGTCACGTGCGCAGGCGCACCTGACGAACTCTGCACGTGCCCCGAACGTGGCGCACCTGGACCACGTAGCGCATCTGGCGCACCAGGCGTGCCTGGCACGTTCGGGTCCCAGGGGTGCCTAGCGCGCGTGGCGCGCCTGGCACGCGTGGCGCACCTCGCCCAAGAGTCGCGCACATGGGGCCGGTTTTAGTTCCAATAGCTGCCCATCCAAAGACGACCGCTGAACATGCTGAGGCTCAGGTGTTACTTCTGTGTTGGGAGGGCGGGTGGGAGTGAGCTAGACGGCATGCTGCCTAGGAGGGTGTCTTGGTCACTGTTCCCTATTAATATACACCCCCTCCCCCACCCGGCCGGCGGCCAACCCAGAACGATGCCAACCCCATGAGGACCACCCCCCCACCATGCCTGTCAAAAACAATACAATACGCACTCTGCCTCCGCATTTGGAGCATGCGCGGCCAACCCGATGCGGCCCCCCCACCATCCCTGTCCAAGAACAACGCAAAGTACACTTTGGGGCAAAGTCTTGAGTCATGTTCGTGAGGCCCGCGGGCACTTCGTATTGTTTTTGGCAAGGACGGTGGAGGTGTCAGCATATTCCCTTCTGCGCGCAGGGTTACCATCCCTGACATACATATACACACATGTATGCATATATCTATATATATATATATATACACACCAAATACACCTCTCGGCTAAATCTGGATCATGCGCGGCCACCCCGCGATCCCTGTCAAGTGTATTTTGACAGGGACGGCGGGGGTGGTGGCGCGTGGCCTGCTGTACACAAGCCCACCAGACACAACGATGGGCATTGGTTTTCGACAAGGGTGATTGGGGCCGACATGTGTCCCGATGTGTGCTGACACGTGCGCAGGCGCACCTGACGCACTCTGCACGTGCCCCGAACGTGGCGCACCTGGCGCGGCTGGGGTGTGCGGCACACCTGGCGCACTCAGAGCACGTGGCGCATCTGGCGCACCAGGCGTGCCTGGCACGCTCTGGCCCCACGGGCGCCTGGCGCGCGTTGCCTGGCACGCGTGGAGCACCTCTCCCAAGCGTCGCGCACCTGGGGTCAGCTTAGATTCCCAGTAGCTGCCCTTCCAAAAAAGACCGCTGAACATGCTCAGACTCGAGTGTTACTTATGTTTTGGGAGGGCGGATGGGAGTGAGTGAGCTGAACGATGCGGGCGGGTGGGTAGCTTGACCCCTCCACCTAACCCCCTCCCCCGACGTCACGACCCATTGGAGCGGCCAAAACGGCCTCGGCGATGAAGCAAAAATCGCTGGTTTGAACTGGGTGTTGAACCCATTTTGGCCACTCCCAGGGGGGGGGGGGGGGCAAAATTAAGGACCCCCCCTTCTTTGATCGAACTCCGACAAGACGGCCCCAAGATGGCCTCGAAGGCTCCCAAGAGGGCCCCAACAAGGCCCCGAAAGGCGGCCAGGAGTCCTAAGAGGCCCCCAAGAGGCCCCTCAAGAGGCTCCCAGGAGACCCCGAAAAGACCCCAAGAGGCTCCCCCGAAACAGCCAAGACGTTCCAAGACAAGAGACCCCCAGGACCACCAAGAACCCCCAAGACGCCCCAGAAACATCAAACCCCCAAGACGCCCCAAAGAAACTTTCAAAAGACATCCGAACACACTCCGAGGGGCATCCAAGAGGCCCCTGGCCATTGTGCTCGCCCTTCTTATCCTCCTCCTCCTCCTCCTCCTCATCCGACTCCTCCTCCTCCTCCTCCTCCTCATCATCATCATCAGCAGCAGCACCAGCACCAGCACCATCATCATCATCATCATCATCATCATCATCATCATCATCATCATCATCATCATCATCATCATCATCACCATCACCGTCACCATCACCATCATCATCATCATCACCATCACCATCATCAGCATCACCATCATCAGCATCATCATCATCAGCAGCATCATCATCATCATCAGCATCAGCATCATCAGCATCATCAGCAGCAGCAGCATCAGCATCATCATCATCATCAGCGTCATCATCATCATCATCACCACCACCACCATCATCACCATCATCAGCAGCAGCAGTATCATCATAATCATCATCATCATCAGCAGCATCAGCATCCGCATCAGCATCATCATAATCATCATCATCATCAGCAGCAGCAGCATCAACCTCAGCATCATAATTATCAGCATCATCATCATCAGCAGCAGCAGCATCAGCATCATCATCAGCAGCAGCAGCAGCAGCAGCAACACCACCATCATCATCATCATCATCATCATCAGCAGCATCAGCATCATCATCATCAGCAGCAGCAGCATCGGCAGCATCAGCATCGGCAGTATCAGCATCATCATCATCAACAGCATCAGAATCATCAGCAGCAGCATCAGCATCATCATCATCATCATCATCATCATCATCATCATCATCATCATCATCATCATCATCATCATCATCATAAATATCATCATCATCAGCAGCAGCACCATCATCATTATCATCATCATCATCATCATCATCATCATCATCATCATCATCATCATCATCATCAGCAGCAGCAGCAGCAGCAGCAGCAGCAGCATCACCATAATCATCATCCTCATCATCACCATCATAATCCGATTCCTCATCCGCCTATTCCTCCTCCCCCTTTCCACTCCTCTTCCGCTCTTGGGGTATGACGGCTTCTCCAGCCCTTCATTCCTCTGCATGCTCCTCCACACCCCTGATCAGGGCAACTCGCCTAGGCCTCATTTCTGGATGGGCTGGTGGGGTTACGCGAAGCGCTAGAATAGACCCGCATCGTTTCACCGATCCCCTATCCCACTCGGCATGGTCTCGGCCACACCTGCCGACTTTCACCCCATGGGTGGGGATGGGTGTTCCCTTCGGGTCTCGAGGGCCCTCTCCCCACATGGGGTGGGGCGGCTGGCAGGGCTGAGACACGTGGCCCAGTGGGGATGAGGATCGCTGGGACTGGATGAACCAAAAGACACCGCTACTTTCACTCCACGGACTTCTCCCAGGGTGCGTTCTGGCCAGAATTACAAAGCGAATCCAGCCGTGGCGAGGAGCGCCTCCCAGGAGGCCAAAAAAGCGACAGCGAGGAATAGACGATGCTGATTCGAAGGTCGTCGCAGAAGCCCCGGAGCTGGCAGCGGTCACGACCGCAGCGTCGCTGTTGTGACGCGGCGGCGGCTGCGAATCGGCCGGTTCGGCCACCTCGGCCAGGGCGTGCAGGCTCTCGTGGAGGGAGCGCTCGGCCTCCCGCACCAGCCTCGGAGCACCACTCGAGGAAGGGACTGATGTTATGACGCACGCTCCCCTTCCTCCACCAATCCTCTTCATCATCCTCCTCCTCCGCCTCCTCCTCCTCCTCTTCAGTTCTCCTCTTCCTCCTCCTCGTCCTCATTTTCCTTTTCCTCCTAACCCTCCTCCTCCTCCTTTTCTTCGTATTCATATGATTGTGATTGATACCATGCTGCGTATTCGCAGTAGTACTACAAGTAATTGTTTTAGAACTGGTTGTCTTCACATGTTCACTACTCTTCGTAGTATGTGCTTTCTTTTGTTGTTAGACTTCGTATTCTTCCTACGATTAATACTTCGCAAGAGTATTGGTAGTAGCGTAGTTGTACTCTCAAATTCGTCTATCTTTACGAACAGGAGAATTACTGGTCTGCTAGTAGTAGTATGGAAAGTCTTCTTCTGAATCGTATCATCACGTCTTCATAGCATTCGCATTCGTTTGAGTATTAATATGATTTGTACTACTAGTTGCCTGCTTCTTCTTACTACAAGTATTCCTAGTAGCGCGATTCTTCCTAAAAGAAATATGGTCATACTTACTGCTATGATGAACGCTTAAATGAATATCAGTACTATTGATGTTAATCCTCCTCTTTCCCATCCTCCTCTGCCTCGTCCTCCTCCTCATTATCCGTATCCTCCTCCTCTTCCTCCTCCTGCTCCTCTTCCTCCTTCTCCCCCACCCGCCCCCCCCCCCCCCCCCCCCCCCCCAACCCCCTCCCCTTTATCCAACCCCTCTCCTCCTCCTCCTCCTCCCCTCCTCCTCCTCCCTTTCCTCCTCCTTTTTTCTCCTCCTCCTCCTCCTCCTCCTCGTCCTCTTCTCCTCCTCCTCCTCCTCCCCCTCCACCTCCTCCTCATTGTCATCCTCCTCCTCCTCCAACTCCTCCTCCTCCTCTTCCCCCCCCCCTCCTCTCAATAGTCTGATTCGTAATAGCAATTCTCTTCTTATGTTCAATGTTAGTCCGCGTGGTCGTAGTATTTGTTGGTAGTAGTATCATTGGTAGTACCACTACTGATAGTACTACTAGTTTTGACATTAATAGAAGTAGTGGTAGTGATAGTAGCGTCCGTGAGAGTGTGTGTGTGTGTCGTAGTTGTCTAAGTTGTCTTATTCTTCTGCGTCTCAATATTAGTAGTATTATCAGTAGCATGAGTAGTGTTATTATTGATAGTAGTAACCGTATGGGTGAGTGTCTTAGTCGTCTCATTCTTCATCCTATCAGTACTACCATAGCTATTGGATCATTAATATGTTTCTTCGTTGCTTGCGGTATTAGTAGTATGCCTCGTCGTATTCCTCTTACTCGTATTCAAAATATTAGTATTCCCAGCGTGATTCATCTTAGTGCTAGAATTCGCAATCGCACTATGATTATTGTTTGTTCAGTATTGATTCTATTCGTATCACTCATAATGGTAGTATTATGAGTATTCGTTGAATCCCTAGTAGTACTAAAAGTATTGCAAGTGTTATTATTCGTATGTGATGTACGTGTCCTCCTCCTCCTCATCCTCCTCCGTATCCTCCACGTCCTCCTCATCCTCATCCTTCCCCTCTTCCTCCGCCTCGTCCCCCTCCCCCTCATCTTCCCCCTCCTCCTCGTCGAATTCCTCCTCCTCCTCCCCATCCTCCTCCTCCTTCTTCTCCTCCCCCTCCCCCTCCTCC